AATTTATCAGGCAAATCATGTTCCACAACAGATATTGTTCTGGGTATCGTATTCTCGTGTACAAAATGATGAGCAGTCATTTGAGAACTTCTGTCTCGGTGGACCCAGTGTTCTGTTTGTTTCACATCCAGCTTTTGAAATTCGTCGAACATTTTACGGACGTTGTTGATTAAGATCCAATCAACCCCCGTATTCACAGTGCCATCAGGGGGCGATTTTGAGTCTGATCTTCGATGAACACATGATCTGGTGGATGAAAAAAATCGTTAATTGTTACAAAAGTTAGAAAATCTTCAAATGCTGATGGTGTATACTATAACATCTACATTGCTTCAAAACTGATTCTAAAACTGACAACAATATACTACAAGAATCTCAAGTTACCTTTTAATTAGTGCAACATTGGCATGAAATATACATGACATTATGTGAAATACATGACATCATTGGTACTTGATTGAGAAAACACTCGGGGCAAAATCTCAGTAAATAAACAACACAACAGAATGTATACATACATTTGAACCTTGCAATGATTTAACCTGAACTGAATAAAAATAAGTTTTGTTCTGCAATTCAAATATAATTCCTGTGTATGTATAATGAAAATTACGCAGACTCACGTTGAATTACCTTTTTTTTTAAATTAAGTCAGACACATGGGTACAAAGTAGCATATTCTGATAGACATTATACATATTATTGTTGAAAAGTCATAGGCTTTATCAATACATTTGAAATAGGTGTAATAACTGCATCATCATTTCTAAGTTGGTTAATAACATGTCAAATAGACCACATGTAATCCAGGTTCGTACTATGTAAACAGCAATAGGCTTGCCAGAGAAGTCAATATTACACATGTGACCTCTGACACAGTAACACAGTATAGACTACATAAATGTTCTACGAAGTAATAAAACCGAAACTGGGTATGGACATGTCTACGCATCCACAGCCAATGTGAAGACTGTCCCCGATTGGCTACCAAATTCAAACACCTAACAGTTACACCAATCAGAGAGCTTGTTTGTTGAAAGTTTTTTTTTGACGTATCAAATTCTGCATTGTATATATGCTTAGACTAAATTTTGTATCAACTTTTGTCATACACAATTTTTCAGGTACAGTAACATTTACGGAATTAAAAGTTCTCTCCTCCCAATTGTAAGTTCAGAAAGAATTGACATGTGATAGAAAATTTGAACACGTACAATTGAAAAAAATAAATATACATTATATTTACTTTTTAAAGTAACTGTTAAAATCATGTAAAATGTACCACGTATCGAATTTATTTAAGCCATAAATCCACTCAATACTATTCGTTCTGTAATTCAGTTGTCGACAACTAGTTTATTTATAGCTTGTTTTTCTTTTTACCAATGAGTCATTCACACACACACGCTGGCTATCTTATATATCACTGTGGTAAAGTTTACCTGCAGGCATTGCCCATCCTCTGCAAGCAGCGTAATCAACAGGTGATAAAACTAACAATTGGTGTTCAGTAGTAATGGAATTCAACAAAAGAACTGGATGGCAAGCTTGCGTTTAAGAACTAGATAAGAACTTTTCCAGCCTGCAATAAAAACAATATGCCATTTATTCTAAGTCTTAAAACACATGTAATACGATTTCACGAAACGTCCCAAGTACACACATCGTATAATTGAATGTTATTTTTAGTTTTTAATTCATAAAGTAATGTTATTTTGACCTAAATTCGGATATATTCAGAATCGGCGGCATCATCCTTGCCTAAATCATGTGCTTGCGTATGTTTACACCGCGGATGTCAAGTTAATATTAACGAAGTACACGTTGTTTGCACTGGTTCAGCAACACCGGACGCTCTACGGATAAACCTACCTTTTTGTCCAACTCTCAGCGGAAATAGACAATATTCTTTAAAATTATCGGCGACGGGTTACAGAACTGAAATATAATGCGAAATTCAAATTCTTCGAGGAGGAAATGTAACAGATACAACACCATACGTCCCGTGACGAGAATGAACTAGTTTGCATCACGTGACACATGACGTCATGGTGGAATACGAGTAGATCAATAAAGAAGTGTTTACGAGTCATGCTTGTCATAGTTTTGTTGTCATGCACTCTGCGATGTCCTATGTCGCACCATCACTTTATTTGGGGTTAAAGACTTTGGATCTTTAATCGCATGATTTCTTAATTGCCATTTATATCTGTGTAAGGTATAACCTTTTGTTAGATCATGTGATGAGATGGTATTGCACAACGCGACACGGTGACTGTTGGTGTGTCATCTTTGGAGATAAGGTCACACACCGGCGAGACTGAGACGACTCGATGATAGTTGTCAGGTAACCCGGTTTAACGAGATAATCAATGAATCACACACGGCCTATCGGATAGCAGTGATCGTGTTGGTGTGCAGAATAAACTGGAAATGACGTCATATTTTCCACACTGGTATACCAGCTCACCAGTTGTTTACAATGTTTCCCAGACCAAATAATGCAATATGAATTGTTTTATATAACAGGCAACAACTTAGATATTAGCCAACAAACAAACAATCAAAATTAAGAGAGTAATAAAAACAATTTTACTGTATAACGGAAACAGATGAATCCTGTTTAAATTTTAAAAACTAAAAATGTCAATAATATTATGTGTCGTTCCAAGAAAAATGAAAAAATAGTATGCAAGTGCAATGATTGTTGTATGCACATTAGAACGTTCTAGTGTTTTATTAACCAAAAACTTAGTTGTGTGAAAAACATTTTAGTACACATATCATAATTAAATGCATTCGCCAACATATCAATATCAACACTATCAATACTATGTATCCTTCCATATTGCATCGTTATAAATATGTAGCTCACTTTACTTGCAAATATAACCATTACATGTCGTATAATAATTAGAAAATGATAGTAAGTAACCATAGTTCTTTGTAATTATATAATATAATCAAATTATTAATATATCTATCAAACTGATTAATATAATCCAACTATTCAGTCAACGTACCATTTTCAATGATAGATATGTTTTAATAGTAGTGAATAAAATAACGTTGTATTTGCTAAAATTAATTTTAAGATGTCATCTAGCACACCAGAGTTAACTGAAACTATTATGAAGGGTACTGCATGCGAGTGTGAGTAGATACGTTAACACACTAGTATATCTCACCGCACTAAGAAGTCTCGACCATTATGATCTAACTCGATATATGTATGTACATTTTTCATTAGAGACAGCAAGTTGATATCATCTACGATTCTACCATCTTAATATAAAGTGTCATATAGTGTCATTTAATGGCGAGAAGGTATATAAGGAGTTATTATCGTCTTAGTTGAGGGCGCCACTCATATGCACAAATCTGGTCATTTCCTTTTTTTGTACAAGCATAACATTTACAAAGATTGAGAAATTGACAACATTTAAGGGTCACCGTACATAAATTAGAAACAGATATGATGGAGAGGAGAAAGCATGTGCATCTATACTAGTATGTTGATACCATGTTGTAACTTTTAAAGTATGTCGTTCAATATTTCACAATTTTGGTCTTACTAAAATCGTAAATGTATATAGAAGCAAAGAACAAAGTATGATGCACACAATGGATCGAATGGCAAAGACGATGATGCATAATTTACCACTCTAAATCATGTGACATTGGCCAAGCTGGGTTCGAACCATTACTTTCGTATTGTTAGTCAGTATATGAAAGGGTATCCTATGAGGTGCAAATGCAATGTTTGGATGAATACATTCGTCATCACGTGATATGCACGTGACATTGTCGTGGTATAACTGAAGTCGTTAATCGCACCCATTGGTCGTTCCCTTTCGATGCGATGAAACATCATTCGGCCGTAGGCCACGTTACAAGGCGCTTGCACCATGGCTACTTGTGTGATTAACTAAGTGATTAATTCAGTTTACTAATATTAAAGTAATTAGTTATGAAATTATTTTAATACCAACGAATCAGATTGCATTACATGATTGTAAAATGTTGGATAAATCACACAGTCATATAATATACTACACATTTCCCCCTAAATTACATTATTTCAGATTGTAGGTGATTTATTTTTCATTAAATCGGTGAATTTAACGGTTCATGGCGAATTACAACAATATCTTGACATGCGCAGTAGATGGCTTCTCAGATGTTGAAATTAAGATAAACAGTGCATGTCGTTTTTAATTCCTTGACAAATATAAAAAATGTATTAAACCACCCTTCTCTCAAACATAATATCTTCATATCCTCTTATAACTCATAAATTATAACAATTATTATTTTCTAAGAGCAATGTAACTTCTCAGTATAATGATGAGATTCCGGGAATACATATATAAGCCATATAAAAGTTGAACATGTAAACATCATACAATTTAAATCAGTTGAAATATTAAAATATTCATTCGTATAAAATATTCATAGATGTTATGGTCAAAAATTAATAGGTGTTTCTATGGTAACATTTGTTATCTAGTGCTTCACTAAAACAGAGCAAGGTCGACGGATAAAACGATTTTATAGCAATATATTTAGTATAATTACATCATTGTTACGTCAGAGCTATGCAAATATAAGGCACTCATGAATTAATCGTACAAACCATTTAGTTTCCATATACATTTTAAGAAATAGCTTAGTGTAATTTTCAAATTCAATCTCATTTCGAAAACGGTGGTGAATCGCGTTCAAGGTGTTTGTTGTGTTTTGTTTTCCGGGTAGTATAAATAAGTCAATATCGGAACTAATGAACAATTGAAGTTGAAGCGGAAAGCAGCAATTACACCACTATGTATTGTAATATCACGTTGCATTTCCCTTATTCTTTTAATGAGTGTCAATTGTGAAAGCAAACGCGAACACGAAACAATCAACACCAGACCAACGTTATATATCGTCAAGCTTACGTGCGGTCATGCGTAAAAAGTGTCGTTGTCGGTGGCAATGTTTCTAAGGCATACTGTCGACGCAAACACACAAGCTGGCAGTAAATATCAATAATAATATAGATAGTCTCTCTTCAAACTCTAATCCACATTATGCTATCGATTTCGATCTGCCCGGCTTCTCGTCGCGCTGTTCCCTGCCTTCCGCGACAACCGTTGCTGCTCTCTTGACCTCGGTATGCTTCTTGTAAGAAACATTGTTAATATGTGTCCATGTTCCCATGTTTTGTTTGGGCATATTGGCGACGTTGTTTTCGTATACCCAAGAAGCCCGTGGATTATATCCTCCTGTGTCTCTTAGTCGTTTCACGTTATCGATATGTGTCCACTGTTGGTTCTGCATTAAAACGTAGCCTGCAGCATTGAACTTGCGTCGACCGCTGCTCACAGGAACGTACCTAGAACAAAATATTGACAGTCAGAGAGAACATTTTCGAAAACGACATTATAATAATCTAAAAATATATTGCAAGATATATCTGATCTCAAAACAAAAACAATGCGATTTACAAATCTCGTTCATTCGTGTACACTGGTAGTTCGTGTGAGCGATATATAATTGCGATAATAATATTGAAATATGATAACCATACGTCATGTTCTATTCACAAGGTTCGATGAAATGTTCACTGTAATTTTATATATTTTAAAAAAACGGTTAATATGTAAATTATAAATACTCACATGACCAGGTACGAAGGGGTTTGTCATTTGAAATTGGAACGGGGGAGGTATCACAAATATTGAAAATATACGAAAAAATAATAATCACGTTTTTTCTCATTCTATTACATTATGCCATTATCGTAATTATACCATTATCGTATGTTATATCTTCACGCATTGCGCTGTTCCCCGCAAATCATCCTGTCTCTCGTTTTGATTTGGGTATTCCCTACGCATACTACCGGGTAATAATGTGATTACACATCTGCTAAAGGTCAAATGTACACTGTCCTCAGTACGAGGCACGGCCTCACATCTCCTTTATACGTGTTAAACATTGAAAGAAATAACATACACGTTTTATAAATGTTTTATCTGAACAAAACTTGTTTAGGTATATCTGAGTAGATTTTCCAAATGCCTAGAATGAATTAAGCAATTTTCTTGAATTAATCAAGCAATGCAACGGTGACAGTTAAAGGTGAAGTTAAGCTTTCAGCACGTAAACACGGCCGATGAGTGTATTAAAAACCTTTTATCGCATCTTAATATTTGGATGGTGAGAGAGAGAGAGGTGAGAAACCACTTTATATCGTTTATACCGCGTGTTAATGATACCAGCACACTTTATGTTCGACATCCTGATAATAACAAACTTTATGAAAGCAAGTAAAAAGTAGTTCAGTGTAGTGTAGTGCAGTGCAGTGTAGTGTAGTGTAGTGTAGTATAGTGTAGTACAGTGCAGTACAGTGCAGTGTAGTGTAGTGTAGTGTAGTGTAGTGCGGATCGGAGGGTACTCTGTTTTGTTGTCTACTGTAATGCAATATAGTGTAGTGCAGTACGTTGTAGTGTAGTGCATCACAGCGCAGCGCGGCCCCGGAGTAGTTTGATCCAGTGCATAGTGTAGTAATTCGAATTCGTAGTTCGTCTTTTACCTGAGTTTTATTGTAATGGTTATAAATCATCCAAATATCATTCACAGTGAGAAATCGATATACAAATTATTCAGCGCACATATCATTGTAAATCTTATATAAGATTAGCGATGTGAAATGGGACAGGCACGAAGCTGTATAGTTTATCTAACGTAAATTCCAGTTCAACTAATGAAAAGTTGATCATAGTGACGAAGAAAGCGATATTCCATTACTCACCCGACTTCCGAACCTTTGTAACCAGTGTTGTGTTTTACTTTGTTACATTCATTACTGAAAGATATTCCTGTTTTATCTTTCGGTGGCTCCACAACAGATTCATATTCGGGAATTGAATCGTAAACTTCGATGTAATTCAATCCAGTCTCAGTTTCTGAAAATGTCACAGCCTCTGAGTCCCTATCACACACATCCTCTTTCAGCGGTGTCATGGCAACCCATGGATCACTACCTCTTCTAGGATGGATAGCATCGGCATCGATTTTTAACATCTTTATTTGCCTTTCTTGACTCTTTTGTCTCGTTACTCTCCTCAATTCGGTAACTGATTCTGCCCTTTCGAAAGAACGTTTCAAAACCCAAACAGAAAAAATAAAGCAAATCACTGAAGCACACCCAACGACGAAGAGGATATATCCGATACCTCTTACAATAGGATGTTTCCATGGTATCTCAAGAAATGCCATCCATATTCCAACTGGGAGTGTGCAGATTGCCACAGCTAACGTTATGATAACTATTATCACCTTGGAATCCATATCCGTCACTAATGCTATTCAAGACATTATACGAACTTTGCTGAAGATTGGAAACATAACAGCAAAGGAAAAACAATAATCTATGAACATAAACAAAATTTGTGATTATTCAAGAATACATTAAAAGAAAACCTGTTTGAACAAGTTATTCGGTGAGCACCAATAATACATTGCTACTCAATATTGACAGAGAGATTCATCCATGGAAGGTCGTCGTATAGTCGTGTCATTTGGGGTCACGTGATCTATGCTAGATTGCATTGAAGTAGTATACTATGTTGTATCAATCTACACCAAATTGACATTCATTTTAAAACAAATTTACAACTCACCAAAATGAGGTTAATTATAGTGATATATTGTATAATTTGAAACCATTGGTATATAATTAAGTCTACATCATTGACCGAACGCACACAATCAAAACAAACGTATGCTATTTTTGTATTAACCCTCACCTTGCCAACTCCATGTACTTTTACATTGACTTGACCAGATACGGGTTAACCAAACCGTCAGATAGTCGTGAAATGTGTAATAGGCATAAGCGGATAAATCTAAACTATTAAAACCTTACCTTTGTTGACTTGCATGTAAATATCAGCCATGTGATAGGTAAGCCCGTTTGTTTGAGCGCATCTGTTTACTATTAAGTCCAAAGTTCAGAATCAAGATGTATAAGTTAGACAGTTGTCACTGTATTATATCGACACTTCAAACAAAGAATTTTAAATCGTATTGTGTGTTTAATTAGAACATGGCGGCGGAGTAAATTAGTTGAATCACTGTAACTACTTTTTGACTACCATCGTTAGGATCAATGTGACTGTTTCATGATTGAATAATTACGGCTGACTGTGATCAATATTGGTGGGATCAATGTGAATGTTTATTCATTGAAATATTATGGGTGACTAAATTAACATTGGCTGAATCGACGTAACTGCTTGTTGATTAAATCATTCTGTATAGGAGACTAAGATTAATATTGGTCAAATCATTGTGACTGCTTGTCGACTGGATTATTATGGGCGACTGATATTAATATTGGCCAAATCAATGCGGCTGCTTGTTGATTGAATTATTATGGGCGACTGATATTAATATTGGTCAAATCAATTTGGCTGCTTGTTGATTGAATTATTATGGGCAACTGATATTAATATTGGTCAAATCAATGTGACTGCTTGTCGATTGAATTATTATGGGCGACTGATATTAATATTGGCCAAATTAATGTGACA